AGTCTTTTTGTCCAAGTGACGGCAGTTGAGAATCAATGGCAAAGAGACAAATGGGTGCTATCTGACGCTCAACCCGAAAACAGCCAGTTGGGAAAAAAAGAAGAAGAGTTTTGCATGGGCCATTTATTCTGTGATTAAAACAAGTTCAAAGTTGTATTATGCTTATCTGTTTACCCAACATCCTTAGAAAAATAGTGTGTGTATCTTAGGCGAGTCAAGGGTTGGCCCAGTGTCATCATTGCTTGAGCATTTTTTATTCCGAAAGTCCGACATGGCGCACCACTCCGCAACTGATTCTCTTGTGGTGATTCTCTACCAGTACTTAGGCAGTATCGGATTCGGAACCTATTCTTCTCCTGTGCCGGCCTAAAAATACTGTTCCGACCGAATTGGCACCGAGATAGAAATAACTGCTTCCAGGTGGTATGAGGATTGTATTGGGTATAAACAGGATGTAGCACGGTACTGGCAAAAATACACCGAACGGGTGAACTAAGCATGCAGGGGAGTGCATAGTTGTTGAAATATCTGGAGTAAGTCATTTTTTGCAAGTAGTCTGAAACACCAATTATACAGTGGGTATCCTAAAGTAGCAGAGAACATTCAGGATCGGAGGACAAGTCTGTGATTATTACTTTCGAGAACGTTATGAATCAAATTAGGGCTAGGGGGAGTTGTAACTAGAAAGAGAGAATGAGTTATAGTGTTCCACAGTCTTTCGATCCGTGGGGAAAAGAAATGTAGATGGTAGTAGCTGAGGATTTGTGTTGGCGCGGATGAATTATACAGAACCAAGTAAGAAAAAACCCAATTTCAGAAGAGTGAAACCCATGGCGATAAAGGAGAAAGAGAGAAGAGGAAACGATGACGACCCGGGGATTGGCTCGGAACTGTTAGTGAGGGTCAGATCTCAATGATTTGCTCTTGGGCCTGCCCCACCAGTGAGGGAGAGAGAGATATGGAAGAAGACAGAACTTCACCACACACATGACTACAGTAGTCAAGGTAGAGCGGTGTGGGAGCTTTCCCCAAAAAGAGAATATGGAAACGATGGAAGAATCGTTCGAGGCGGAATCGTCTGCTCAACACGGCGGGTGGTTAACGTTTTGATAGAGTATCCGTGAAACAGGAAAAATGGATGAATCATCCAACCGGAGAGAACGAATTTGTGTAACATACTGAAAAACACTCAGCATGAACAATCTACGTTCAACTTAATGGTTAAAATCATTAACACGTTCGACAGATTTACCGACAGTCTTCAGTGTTTGTGAAACCTTGCGAACATGATATAAATTATGCCAATAATCGAATGCAAAAAAGGAATATAGAGTAAACTTTAAAATATTTGTCAAATCCTTGAGATACGGAGTGCATCTATCATTCTCACTTTTGATTCCATATTCATAGGATAATTTTGAAGTTTGAATACACCACTGCTTATTGGACTGTATCTTTTTTTTGGTACTTTTTCGATAGACTTCGGAAACCGCGTCAGAGGTGACTTCACCAATTTCTCCACAACCACAACTAGATGCAGAGGAGAACGGGACTTCAGAAGTTATGCAGCTGGTAAGTACTGGCTAACTCACTCCCAATTTGTCCCCTCTTGTTCCGGATGGGGACGGAGTGGGGGTGGGGTGGGGTGTCAAGGAGACACCTGTCTTGGGTGTTAAAAAAGAGGCCCTCTACACTGTTACTGTGAAGGCTGTAAAGCCTGATTTCGTGCAGTGTTGATAACAATCGCTTAGCGATCGGCCACAGTGAAAATGAATAGACCTCTGTATCGCTTATGCAATATACACAGACCTGACTGGAGATCGAGAAAAAGGATGCTGTTTGGCATCAAATGCCTAATGGAAGGTACGAATAAAGATAACAACTTAAGGATATCGATCAGACTCGAGCGGTAAGTTTCAGTCGGTCACGTAAGCTGTAAAAGAAAGATACACATTGTCATATAGAGGGAAAACTGGGGCCCACGAAGTGGAGATTGAAGTGTTCTTCAGTGGATTGTTAAACGTTTAATTTCGTCTAAATAGAGCGTTACACTCTGTGCAAGAGTAGGGTGATCGTTTTATCTATTGTGCTAAAAATGGAAATATCTCTCGAATGTTAAAGGGGGAAAATGTATATATGCATATATATAGCATTGATTCTTCATTGGACTGGCTCTGAAAGAGCTGTCTATCCAATGGTTACCCGGTGTTGCAAACAAGATTATTGTGACGAATATATATATATATATATATATATATATATGTAGGATAGACTATTGATAATTTGCAAAATGGACGTGTATTCTCCAAAATCAACTTGCCACCCACTTTCTGGCAACATAAGGTTCACATGTTGTTGTTCTAACAACTTACCATGTTGGTGGACAAACAGATAACTTGAACACGTGTGGTTTTCCCGTTCGGACCTTCGTGTATCTCAACACCATTACTGGCGTGTTGCCTTCAGCCCGTTACGCAAATAAACGTTTGCGATAAACAAAAACACTCCGGTCCATTACTGTGTTGATTGTTCACTTGAACACGGAAGCGGAAAATCGCGAGAATAAGTCACCATTGTTGTAAAAAATTTCATAATTTACCAAGTAACTAAACGGATGGGCACTATCTGTCTAGTTTTAAATGATAACGACCTGGCAAAATTTATTCATATGTGCCATGTACCTGTGATGATTTTATTCCATCCAGCAATCAGAATCCGATACGGATCACATAACCGTGACAGGGGGCACATGCGAAACGGTGGATAAAGAGAGCGCAACGGTAAGTAAAATGCTTTGCCAGGTTTGTCATGAATTTGGTAAAAAACTTTACATTTTTACTCGACCTGCTTCACTACTGTGCTAGGTCCTCCCATTTTCTTATGTCCGCCTTCAGGAAGACACGAACAGCCTTGACACAGAACAGAAAACAGAGAATACTATGGTAAGTCGAATTTTCGGTATAATATTTGTACAAGTATATATAACTATTTTCATGCTTCGCCCCATTGCAACTACTGGACTCGATGAACATCAAAGTTTTGTTATGAATTATACCCTTTTCAAGTCAATTTGTCCCTATATCATATTAAGATGTCCTCGGATTATCTCAAGATGTCCGGGAATCATTTCAAGTTGACTGACCATTATTTCAAGCTGTCGCGTTGATCTCACCGGTGCTGACAAGCCTACCAGCGATGTCTGGATGACTACCATTCATGTGGTGAGGTAATAT